TCGGGGTGGGTCGCTAGTTTGTTATATAAAAAAATGAATACCTTATAAGCATCCATCTCGACGCGTAGCTTGCTCTGTGTCCACTTGAGTCGTCCCTCCAGCTCGCGCGTTTCTTCTCTTATTTTCGCCATTTCCCGCTCGCTGGTCGCTAATTCATGGCACTAGAAGTGAACAAACATTTAAGAGAGCTCTTAATGCCACATTTTTTGTCAATTTTCAAAACTAATTTAAACAGGACATAGATACAACTTTAATTATTCCTCTCCATCCTAAGGTTGCCTGGAAGTGATCGCTATATAGCGATAAGGCCGCTCATTGTCGCCTCTTTATCTTGTTTTTATTTAAATAAGTTTACGTATTTAATTATTCATTTTATTTATGTACATATTAATATAAAAACATTATAATAGAAGATAGAAGGAAGGAAGGGAAGTGGGAGAGCAAGGCGTAGTTGCATCAGGTAGATCGAAGGAAAGTTTGGAGTCAAAAAATCGTCGTGACTGGCAAGAGCTCAACTAAAAAGAGCGCAGCTCTTAAATAGGATAGATAGATAAACATATATGTATTATCTATATCATTCTTTGAAGGAAACAATAGTTTTCGTTCGTTTATTCATTTTTCAATTTTCTAATTGATTACTGGTTAGTCGATTAGAAATTATTTTTATTTCCTTTCAGTTTCTCAAAGGTTGACTGTAAGAGATTATGGAATAAGTCCGCCATTGTATATTAAATCTTTTAATGTATCCGATATAAATGTATGTACAATGAAAATTTTACAATACAATTATTATTAGTAGAAATTCTACAACCTTCCATACTAGTCATGAATCTCCGACCGTTATTCGGTCCACGCACATGTTGCGATACGTGTTTCACCTCTAAACGAGGTATCTTCTGGAATATTAATAGACCGCTGCTCGGAGTCTAACCAGACATATGGACTTCTAAATAGTGCAGGTGAAATTACCATTTATTTTCATCCAATAATTTTTTTTTACATAAAGGAATAGCAAATGAGCTTAGAAACTACCCAATGTAAAACTGTAACAATTGCTTATAGATACAACTCATGGTACTCATATCCATAGGTGATTGTTACAGATATACTGTGATCACAGAATATACTGTGACACCCATGATCGTTTCACCCCCACATGGCATTTTCAGAAATGGCAATATTTTCAGAGGACTAGTGTTTTACAAGAAAAAAAATACCTTGTCATCATACAGCTGACAGATCCTCTGTTTCTCGCTATGTGCGGACTTGAGCTTGCCATTGAGTAGTTCCACCTCTGTCGCCGCAGCCCGCTCGGCCTGCGTCGCCTTCTCGGCAGCTCGCTTCGCCTCAATAGCCGCACATTCGACGCTCGCGTACCGCATCACCGCTGCGTCTTTCTCACGTTCTGCTTGGTCCACACGCTTGTTCATCTGTCGACAATGATACATATTTATGGGCTGACATAGACAACTAGTTGCATTAGACAGAATTTGTTAGTCATGGGGTCTAATAGCCCCATTACTTACTGAGTGTAAAACTATATACTCTTTTACATCAACCTCCATATGGTTTCCCCTGGAAATTGTCATGGTTAATTCTCATTGAATTCGTCATTTTGGACCAACTGATCTACTTTTTTTTTTAAACAACTTAGAATGGCAAACAAGCTGATGGCCCACCTGATGGGAAGTGGTAACTGTCACCTATAGACATAAGCAGTACCATGGACATAACAGAGTATACTGTTTCGCCCATGATCTATCTATTTTATTGTCATCTATCATTCTTTACTGATACCCTGCCAGCTGATAGTGCAGATAGGGATACCATTCCATTATAATGCATCAAAATATAATAATGGTAAATAAATAAATAGTAAATTTATTACAAATACAAACAATAAAAAAATATAAATAATTGTAAGAAAAAGGAATGTTGCGTTAGTTTGGCCATTTGGAGAGGATGGATAAAAGAAGAATTACAAAAGAGATTTATCGAAGAAAATTAATGGAGATGTCGGTAGGGGCCGCCCTAGACGGACATATGCTGACCAAATAGGTGATGTGCTGAAGAAGGGCCAAATTAAAAGTACCCGTAACTGGTGAGTGTGTATGAAAAGATTGATAAATGTGGAAGAAGCGAAAGAAGTTTGTTTGAATCGAAGCATTTTGCGTTGTTTCTGTCTACCCTAATGGGAGACAGGCGTGACAGATATGTATGTATGAAAGAAAATATGACACTGAGAAAACAGTGGGTGGCTTTATCACTTAAGAATGATCTCTTCCAGGCAACCTTTGGATGGAGAAGAGAAATTATAAACAGTTTGACTGGAGGCACCAATTCTGTTATTTTTTTTTAAATACATTGTTCGCGACATTATTGTACATGTGTAATTATAGCGATATTTATAGCAATGTTTATAGTTAGTTGTTAAGTCCCTAGTTTAATCGTTTTTGTATACTGTTATTTTATATAGATTTTACATAGATTTAAGATACCTATAGTGTAAGTTAAATAAAGTATTCTTTGTGCGTTGTCATTATTACCTGCGAATAGAAATAGAAATCGTAAAAATAAATAGAACTAAAGCAAATTGTAATAAATAAATAGACGCTATATGGTACCTTCTAAAGAGATACGCGTCTCTTTCACTCTCGCCCCGTCCCGCTCGCACAGATTCGCTAACGCGAGTTAGAAATGTTATCGTGCGAGCGGGCGGGTATAAAGATAGGCCGCCTCCCGTCGAGCGGCATTCGCTTCCGAGCAGCGACGCACTACACTCGAGAAGAAATAGGACAAGAAGAAAAAATACTCTCTTCAGACGGTACCGGAGGCTTCAGAATAGTAATCGCTGTGTTTCACTCCAGCCTGAACCAACACCCCTACAGTCCACGCTCACCGTACGGCAGTCCACACCGTTCATACATATAGAGTTATGTCACAGTAATATGAATATATAAATGTGCATTTTAACTTATATTTTAAAACTAGGTAGGTATTTATACTTTGTATAGACCTTGGTAGACTATTCCATAGTCTAATAGCTTGCACAGTAAAGGATTTGTCATAAAAACTTCTGAAATACACTGAAGTCTTCAGATGGAAGCCCCTAGATGACCTTAAATAATGCCCTCAATTTAAAAAAATCATGTGTATACTCACCAAATCTAGTTTAATTTCAAAGTCCTTAAACATCTGATCTTTCTCCTGTATCTCATCCAGTTGCTGCTTCAGCCTATCTCTGAGTGCAGCATTCTCTCTCCTCTGCTCCCCTAGTACTCTCTCTAGGGACTCCACTTGTAACCTCAACAAATCTCTCTTCGTATCACTCTCTGCATCGATTGTACCCTGGTCTGATGAATTCGTAGTAACATTTGTTACATCATTTTCATTTACTTTATCCACTCCATTCTCGTAAGGTTTCTCTTCTGATATTTCATCTTCGAAAATCTCATTCATAACTTTACCATTTGTTAATGGTTTCAAATTTTTAGGTACAGGTTTCGATACGGCAACTCTTTGTGTACTATTGTATGCACTTTTTAGACTACCGCTGACAGATGAAAATATTCCGTGTACATTTTTAACGATACTTCCAAGATCTTGTGATAATATTTCTTTAGGTATTCTTGGGTACTTAACATCTACATTTTGATTTATGGATGTTTCTGGAATCTTCTGTACAGCTCCAACTTTACTTTTCTTATTTGTAAACTCGGCTAAAATCTTTTCCGTGTTCAGTTCAGCTTGATGTTCAACTGTTGATATGTTTTCAACACTTTTACTAAGAGGTGACTTACATATAGTTGAATTATTATTCAATGCTGTCTTTTGCTCATTTAAACTGGACGAGGAAGTGGCTAAAATGCTAGTATTCAAGTTACTCTCTGGCTGTGTTCCTAAATCGTCTATATTCGAGTGTGGGATATGGTTTTTACAAAGATCATAATTTTCATTTACTGTTGATGAGATTTCAGTTTCGACATTTTCATGGAACAGCGACTTGTCATGGCCCATTACGTTGATAATTTCACTGTCGAAAGGAGAATTAGTAACCGGAATCGATAGTGATGTACCACTTTCATTTTCTGGACGAGAAGTTACCACTTCAGAACTGTTAACGTGTGGCGCTTCCTCAAAGTGTTTGATGGGTGAGATCTCCGAGTCGGACGATATAGGAAATGCCGCAGAACACGAATCAAGGGTCTCGATCCCCGAGTCACTAGTTAATTCGCACAAAGAATTATTTTCCTTCGATAGATCGTTGTCAATATGGACAATAGTTTCTTCGCCTTGAAAAGACATTTTATAACTTTATCATAGCTAATTATGAGATAGAATATTTTATTTTTATGTTAACGAAAAATAAAAGACATTAATGTATTATTGGATTAATATTTTATTTTAATGAAAATAAACATCTGTAACACAATTTTTGACAATTTGACGCGTCTTATTATTATGACTTGATGTTTGACATTGACATCTGTCTGTTTTGACATAACAAATTTTACTAGTTTATTTATAAGAGCTAATAAACCATTTTTTCCCCTCTTCAATCCAAATCACTTAATTATTGTATATCAAAATTGAACTCAGCCAGAAAGTATTATAAAATTTATTTAAATAATTTTATAATGTTCAATTCGAATTAAACATCATACAAATGAAATTAAATCTTCAAGGTTATTTAGAATAATGCGAAGCAATAGTTTACATAATAAAGAACTCACTTTCATTTCTGGTATTAACAGTTACAAATATTATTATCGGATTAGTAGTTATTTATTATACGTTAGAAATAAAGACCAATTTTCTGATGGTAGGTAGTATATACTGTTACTAAACCATATTATTTATTGGAAATTGACAGACTTATCTTATTACATTGTATTTTAATATGTTAGGTATAATATACTAATTAGAATGTTCACTGTACAAAGCGATAGTTAATTTATTCAAATACCCGAATTTTAATTAATTCAATTTTAAATATAATTTCATTTATTTAGGTATATAGTTACTATATCTCATAATATTTACCATAATTGTTATTTATATTAATAACTATATATATTATAAGTAATATTTATATATTACATGTGTATTATGTATGTATTACAATTTATAATTATTTCAGTATGTTGCTATAATTATGTCACATATTTTGTTCGCTTTCTGTTCTTACCTAATGGTTAGCTGATAGAGAATGCCATATGGCATTAAGCTCGCCACTTGTACAAAGTTTTATTATGTAATAAAGAATAAATAAATAAAAATAGATCAAAATAAAATGCTATTAGTTCGCAGTGGCATACTAGTGAAAGATGATACGTGAGAATTATTTATTTATACTTTATTGCAATCAAGCTTACAGTACTATAACTTTAATTTTAAAATAAATTAACTCATTGAAACTAATCGGCCAGAGATTAACCATAATAGTGTCTAAGAAGACAGTATGGAAATCGACCTGACAGGGTATATTGCTAGTATTTATGCCGCTGCCTTGTTGCTGTCGTGATTTATTATTAGAAGAATATTTTATCAATTGTCATACATTTTACGTGTCAAACAACTACGTAAGATTTTCAATTTATTAAAGCCTAAAATTCTAGCGAATTACACTTTCATTATTATTAACTATCTAATATGAATATTACAATTGCTAAATTTAATTTTGCTCCAAATTTGCACGGCCTAAAATCCATCATGGTAGAAATGGCAGCATTCAGTCAAATGACTGGCAACTTTAGAAGAAAACCTCACGTCATTACCATTTTCGCTCTCAAAGGAAATTGAAACGGGAAAAGTAGGTCGTCGGTATTGATTTTTACAATATTCGGCAAACAAAAGACGTAACGTTGCTTTGTGCGATACAATAAATAAATGCTCCCCTGATCCAGTGCGAAGAGAGTCACCAAAATGCCCGTAAGTGCCAGATTTTTATGATGTGTTATCGGAAATGCTGTATCAGTGATTTCATAATCATTTCCTTTCATTATTAATACTTTGGAACAATTAATAATTTCGACATTTGCTTTTTATATTAATCTATATAGTAATATTAGGATAATATTCAACATTAATTCGGTTATACTCGTTTAGTAATAATATGAGTCATGTTTCGTCACTCAGGGTCATTTTACACCTACCTAATGCCTATTCTGACTTGTGCGTAGTTTCTATTGTACCTACACGTTTTGTACTTGCAAGCCCAAGCATCAGCACATTCGTCCGGAGCGTTTCATTTATCGTACACGTTCTAATTTCAAATAACTGTTATATTGCTTTGTCTTAGTGAATTCGTGAAATAAAAAAAAAATTGTCTTTGGGCGGGTCTCTTGTAATGGTGCCCTGCTGTATATTACTAGGTACGTATTGGTACTTATGATGTGTGCCAAGGTTGTTTCATAGATATATCATATCTATTTGAAAATGCCCTTGAATGAAACATTGTACATATTCGATTTTCAAATAAGATAAAATATTTATTAGCTTAGTAGAGTTTTTTTGGTATTGTACTATTTTATATTTGTTCCATTATTTTTTCTTTTTATTTAATATTGTGTTCAGTGTTCTCAGAATGAATACATTGTGTAAGAATATTATTGTACATTTAATAGACTACAAATAATCTAAGGTGTGGCATAACCTAATTAATTTTTTCTTTGTTCATCACATATAGGGTTGTCAATAACTAGTTACAATCTTAATTAAATTAAATATACTTTGTAGGTGATTACATGTTATTTGTTTATTTTAAACAGTGAGCTCAGATTATATGTTTTTAAACTAATATTAAATAAAATAAAAAAAAAATATATTTAAATATATTTTAGATTAACTGTAAATGAAGTTATACATTTTTTTTTATTGGGGGGAAAAAATTGACAACCATACAGTAGTTGTTGCTATGCATTTATATATTACTTGTTGGCAAATCTGAATGTTAAACACTAACTTATTGCAAAGTAAGAATTAATATTTTTTTTCAATTTCTTTGTTAATTTATTAGAATTTTTTATTGGGGGGAAAAATTGACAACCATACAGTTGTTGTTACTATGCATTTATATATTACTTATATAGATTGGCAAACTTGAATGTTAAACACTAATTTATTGCAAAGTAAGAATTCAAATATTTTATTTTCCAATTTCTTTGTTCATTTATTAGAGTATGGCTATCATAAATATTTTATATTAAAAAAAAATGCCTTCTGACAACCCTAACTTGGGATACCTAAAAACACTGAGGTATTGGTGAATTCCATAGCTGAATTCCAATTAAAAGTACTATTAATTTTTAAAAGGTATCTAAATTATTTTCTTAAATGAAAGACATTCTATTCTATTCTCTAAAAGAAAAAGAATAAAAGATCTCTATTTCTATATTTACTTTTTCTTACACTTAATCAAAATCAACCCTCCTTTTATATTCTTGGTGAAAATTTTACCAAAAACATTCTTTTATATAAAACTACTAATATAATAAACAGAAAATAAATGATTTTTGTATTTTTGTTTGTTTGTAATAAACTTAAAAAATATTTAAAATTAAAAGTTCTTTTATCTATAGGATACTATATTATCAAAGAATAATATAGGCTATATATTATTATAAAAAAATCATATATCTCTGTGAAAGTTGTAATATTGTATATTAAATTTGTCTATTATTTTAAATACTAATTTATATTTCTATCTACCTGTGCAAAGTCAGGGTGCATCACTAGTACTTTTGTATTCTAATGTTGGCCCTAATACAGCCTGACAGAAATAGCCCAACTCTTAAAAGTATAGTTTACCAAAAAAAGTCTTATACTTCTATATTCTTCTACAGTTTGCCAAAAACAGGCCAACTCTTAGAAGTATAGTTTATCAAACAAAGTCATATACTTCTATATTCTTCTACAGTTTGCTAAAAACAGCCCATTTCTTAGAACTATAGTTTATAAAAAAATCATATACTTCTATATTCTTCTAGTTTGCTAAAAACAGCCCATTTCTTACAACTATAGTTTATCTAAAAAAGGCATATACTTCTATATTCTTCTACAGTTTGCCAAAAACAGACCATGTTTTACAAGTATAGTTCACCAAAAACAGTCTTATTCTTACACTGTTTACTAAAAACAGCCTAACTCTTAAAAGTACAATGGGCAAAAAAAATCCTTGTACATATATAATAATATAAAAATATTTGTATACAGTTTACTAAAAACAGCTTAACTCTTAAAAGTACAGTTTGCCTATAAAACATGTTATACATATATAGGAATATTAAAATATTCTTGTCTAGTTCACTAAAAACATCTCTACCTTTATACTTTGCCAAAAACAAACCTAGTTTTATATTGTTGTAGATTTTGTCTAAAACAACTGACTTTTATATAATTTGTATTAGTAAATTATATAGTAGTTCAAAAATCATTCCTTCCCATTACATTTTGTCTGTTTTATTTTTTAAGTAACTAACTTCCATATTTTCGTGATATGTATCTATTAGCAAACTTAACTATAATATAGCATATGTTACTCCCTTAGAATATAGCTTTCCATATATGGATAATAGATTTTGTTTAAATCGCCTAAGTATTTTTTTTATTTTTATTTATACATTACAAACAAAAAAAAATTATGTTTTCTCTTAAAAATATTATTTTCGATAATGACAAACAAGCTAATTGCCAACTTAACGGAAAACGGAACTTTATTTTTTTTTTAATTATATATAAAATACAAAAGTATAGAGAAAATAAAAAGTAAGATAAATAAAAAACAATATTTATTTATCATAAATGATAGGACGCGGAGCTGAGTGCGCCGACTGTAGAAAATGTACGCGTTGTGGTCCGGGTGCGGCCCATGGACTCCCGGGAGAAACTCGACGGCTCGTACAACTGCGTGTCAGTAGATCCCGTGAACCAGACCGTAGCGGTCACCAGGAACAATGTGAGCCCGCCGGAGCCGCCGCGCGTGTACGCGTACGATGCCGTCTTCGACAGTAACACCACTCAGGTAATCTTTACATTACAATTGTTCAACATTTAAAATTCCCTTTTTAATTATTAGCTGTTTTAATAGATAAAAGAGAACAAAAAAGATCCGGACAATTTCGTAAAATTTCCGAACAATTTCGTAAAATTCCGGATGTGTTTGGAAAATTCCGGACGTATGCCAACTCTCGTTGTACCTGATTTAAAATCTACTTTTTTCTTATATTTGGCATATTTAATAAAAACTTTTGTATATTAGTGCATGAATTGCCAGATAAAAAAAAAGATTTGTTTATTAATTGATAATTTATGGTTTTAAATGCTATTTAAAAAAAAACTTTTAGATTATTAACTGAATACGTCAAGTAAAAAAAAAAAGTAGATTTATACCATAGCTATTAGTATTTGCAATATGGAGTTTGAAGAAATAAATTTTATTTTTATAAGATGTTGATATCCATTTAATTAATAATACGTCAGTTACATTGCATCTAATCGTGTTTTTTTTTTTTGTATATATATTGTGTATTCACAATTTTAATAGAATACAGTTTAATCATGTTTGAAATATTGTCTTAAAAATTTCTAAATACTGAACTTGTCCAAACCTCTTGGTGATTTAAAGTTTATAATTAAATTTAATATCGAAATTTCATTAATATTAATAAGCCGAGGCTGAAACTTCAAGTTTACAAAGTTTTAATTTTAAAAATACTTGTGTAGACACAAAATATGTAAAATCTTTAAAGACCGTGGCTTTAGAAGAAATTTAAAAAGTAGATGTAGAATTTCACTGTATTTTATGTCGCGTAAGAAATTAACAAGTGCCCTGTTTTTATTTATTTATTTATTATATTATTTTAAATTAGCATTGTTTTTCGAAGTTTCGAAGTTCGCGTACAGTTAGTATTTAGAAGTTGGAAAACCGATGAATTGGAACATTTGTAGATGACGTATCAAAATGAAATATACGTTGGATTTTAAATAAGAACTTCATGAATATTATAGTGAAAATCGCATCTAATTTGGTGCAGTAGTTTTTGTGTAATTTCAGAACACACGTACAAACATATAGAAATATTTGTGTTTTGACTTCTATTGTTGTTATTAAGTAATATCCCTTATTAAAATTTTTAACTGGCTTAGAAAAGGAGAACGTTTTAATTCTGTATGATGTATTTTTTGTCTTTGTCACCTTATATTTCCATCAATTATAAACCGATTCGGATAATTTTTTTTTTATCTGAAAGGATATACTTCCAGATTGGTCCCATAGAAATTGGTGTCAATTTTGTTTTAATGATTTCGTTTTTAAATAAAAATAAGTTGTTTTGTCACATTTGAAGTAAAATTTTTGTAAACACTTTTTTTTTTAATATTAAATGGTATATACAGACATCCTCTATTAGGTTTCAACTCTGTTTGTTCAAGCAATCTTGACCTAAAACAAAGGAACACCTATGCACTGCTCACGGGATGTAATCCATGGTGGCCCTTCTAGAAACACTACATTCTTAGAAGCACGAGTCATGCTCACTGTAATTTAATCACGGTGTGATAATGGTCCGATAGTTTTTTATGCAATTGGCAATTTCAAACTGGCTGACAACATATTTTCGACCAGTATCAAAAAGAGGTTCTGAATTCGTCGGATTTTTTTTATTCTTATATAGGTTCCTCTATTACGCGGTAACGCTTGAACGGATTTGAAAAATTCTTTTTTTTTTCTTATCTGATATTCGGTAGTTTAATTTTTATATTCAAATAACTGGATTTTTTAAATAAAGAATTAGTTTTTTTTTGTTTCGAACACAATTTTATTTTTTTTTTATTGTAGTCGTGGCAGTTGTCTTATGAACTTTCGAATATGCTGACGCCAATGATATCTTATATGCATTGTCATTATTGAGGACTAAGTGTTATGCCTCTTTACTGTAATTTCAATTTGCCCTCTCTTCTTGCCTGAAATTGCGTTCTGAATGGTAATAGAAAAAATTACTATTCAAAAATATTGATATCTAAATTTGCTAGAATAAAAATATTTCCTTCTTTCTTTCATTCTTCATTTGAATATCTCACCCTTCTTTCATCATTCAAAGAGAAGAAGCTATTTTTAGTATTGGTTCCATTGCTAGCATTATACCTTGTCAGGTCGATCTCCACGCGATTGTCTTTGGAATCTGTCATGATTAATTCTTGGCGAATTCGTCGCAGTGGCCCGACTGACCTATTTTTTTTTTTATTCTTTTGTTGACCTACTTTCATACTTGCCTGACATCCCTCACTGGTGCCCCTCTAGCATTACCGTTAGCGCAGGCGGCGTTACTATTCCATTTTCATCCATTAAAACCCTTTGAATTTATTCTTCATATTTCTACTACGAAACAGCCATTCTAAGCACAGCTGCTTCGCGAGACAAAGAGAGGACCGTCGTCGCTTCTCGCTCTTGTATCGCCACGTGCCGCCTCGATTGCCAATAATCATATTACGCAACTAGTACATCGTCAGTTCTCAACAAATTTTGTTGATTCATTTTTATGTTATTTAGTTAATTTTAGTCATTTGTTCATGAAACAAAAATCCGAATTTTTGGGCTTAATTTCGTATTTTTGTTCGTACCAAAATCGACCTAGTAAATGGAGCTTAACATTTCGTTCATCATAAATCCTATCCTAATAATCCAGAGGAATGATATTTTAACATTTTTAATAATTTTAAACGGCATGTATTATGTAATTTTAACATCAAATTTCTGTTTCGTTCGTGCCCGAAATTTCGGAAAATATTTCGTGGTAGGCCCTCAGCTCTCTTGAAAACCCATATTAATACAACTAAACCCAGTGTTTTGTATTACAAAATCTCCACAAAATAAATATAGTGTTCGGTCGAGTTTTGTTTTAAAATAACATCACGCGGCGCCGGACGGTTATAAGTAGTTGGTTACAACAGTCGCATTGTTTCCATTCACGCCTGTGGGCATCGAGGTTACGCTCTATTCTAGGTACTTGTTAATTTGTCATACGAGTATTTGGCTGCGGTGCTGTAACTGGCCGAAAAAGTGGTTTAATTGTAAAAAAAAAATATTAAATTTAAAAAAAAAAGTAACTTCCTAATCTCTCACAGTTTAAATTTGGAATTCATAAAAAACCTATTTAAGGTTTTTTATGAATTCCAAATTTAAACGTGTTTAGGCGCGCCTTTTCTGTCGCTTCATATTAAAATTTGCTGTGTTTATTATTTTTATAAATGATGCAATAAAGTGAAAAATAATAATAATAAACAATTACAGACCTAAACCGCATTAAAAACATATTATCACATATTTTTTTATGGATGAAAATGGTATGGTAACCCCGCCTGCACTAACGGGATACGCTGGCGGAGCACCAGTGAAGGGTGATAGATGAGAATGAAAACAGGCCAGTTAGCCCATCATGATGAATTCATCAGGAATTAACCATGATAGTTTCCAGGGGGAACCGCGAGGAGGTCGACCTGGTTGGGTATATTGCTAGCAATGGGATTCTCAGTCTCCATTACTAACAATCCCTTTCCCCCCATTATCACATATTACAAGCTGACAATGTAACTGTCTATAGGTGAGAGAATTTTTAAAATCGCTTTTGTAATTTTCGACTTTCATTACAAATAAATAAACATACAAATGAAATCTTCTCTCTACAATATTAGTTGAGATACGACAAAGCAAACTATTGAGCAATATCTATGTCAACTCTTAACCCCCCCCCCCCCCCCTATCCCCCCTAGACGACTCCTCTAGCAGTAGAACAAACGAATTTATTGATAACAAACTATTTCGTTTACCGCTCGCATGTGTACAACATATCGGACTTTGTTATCTCGTTCTATGTATCTCATGGTCTCGGCGATAACGGTTGCCACATATCTAGGGGGCAGATTTCGATGATTCCTTTTGTTGGGCCACACTAGTCGTATTTTTTTTATACCACTGAGGTGGCAAACAAGCATACGGCCCACCTGATGGTAAGCGGTTACCGTAGCCTATGAACGCCTGCAATACCAGAGGCATTACGCGCGCGTTGCCGACCCTGAAGAAACCTCTTTATCCCCCTTTTGAAGAATTACTACTGTATTTTATACTGCAATAAAGTATTCTTAATTTAAGTTTTAAAATACAGGGGATTGGTTTATTTTCAAATATACTCGCCGTTCCACACTCCGGAATGGCAAAATCTTTAATTACTATATTTTTGTATCAATAATTCCCTTTATCAAAATGGACTACTAATATATTACGTATTATTTATTTATGTATCAATGTTTTAAGTGTGTGAGGTATTTTTTTTTAAATTATGGTATGATGAGGCTGACATATCCTTATAGGATAAAAGCCTCTAAATAGAAAAGAAAAAAAAGGCGTGTTGTCCTAATTCTGCTGTAATATATAGAGGGAAGAAGAATAAAGAAGATACGAAGAAGAGAAGAGAACTAACGCATCACTCGTCCACCGTTCGTCTCGACTGGCGCCGTCCAGTGCATCAGTCTTGTCGAATGGTGGGTGAGTTTTGCGTAATGCATCCATGAGAAGGGAAGAAACGAAGAAGTACCTAATAGAAGATTATAATGTATTTCTTTTTTTCTCAATTTTATTGTTAGACATATAAAATAAAATTGCCACAATAAAAATATAAATATATCTATACTTATAATAAATCTGTAGAGAGGTCAATCTTGTACATGAAATATATTTCCAAAATAACTATCAGCAGGTGATTAGTGATCGATACTGATGACAAAAATGCAATCAGTAAAATTTTTATCTGTCTGTTTGTATGTTCGTTATAGAAACAAAAACTACTCGACGGATTTTAACGAAACTTGGTACAATTATTCTTTATACTCCTGGGCAGGTTATAGTATACTTTTCATCACGCTACGATCAATAGGAGCAGAGCAGCGAAGGGAAAAATTGGGAGAACGGGAGAAGATACTCCATTTTTAAGCTTTCGTCGCGCGTGTGCATCCTTAATGGCGACTTTT